TTGATCAATCTGAGTGAATCACTTCATGATTGAGCGCCTAAGTCTCCAGAGTCTCGGGCCTGAAATTGTCCTTTATAGATTTGGTATTATATCTCCAGCATTCCTCCTCTGCCATTAGCCAGACTTTCACATTTTCAATTTCACCTCTCTGCCTCGTGCTTGCCTCCAGATGAGGGTGACACTGTTGCAGTGTTGAATTGTCTCCCCATTCATACATCTGGGGAGCAAATCTCACAAAGTGACAGATATGCTTAGATTACCGGGTTTTAGAAGGACAGGATACCTAACTTGGTATTTGTATTACTGTTAAGATGTAATCTAAGCCTGGGAGAAGGCAAATCCCCTATTTTCTCTCAATGACATGGGCTAGATAGGTGACTGCAGGTTCAATCTGGTCCTATCCATCACAGGTTGTTGTGGGCCAGGTAGGTGAGTCATACTGCTTAAGAGCATCTTGGAGGACAGCGTCTCAGCATTTCATCCACAGCAGACAGCCAACGCCAATGTGACCTGCTTGCTGAACACTTTTCAAGGGGGGCTCAATTCAGCAGAGCGCTGCTGAGCCACGCACATCTGCATAAGTTGCTGTCAGACGGGAGATAGTATTGTGGATTGTTAGGTTATCATAAAGCGAGCAGCTTTTGTGTCGGCCTTGTGGAATACCAAGTGTTTGTATTTGCAACACAGCGTTCATCCTGGGGTATTCTTTTTTTTCTTCTTCCTTTTCTCGCGGCCCTTGTATGGTAATTCATCATCCAGGTCTTGATACATACTGTGAGACTGCCCGGTGAATGTATTCGCCACTGGCTCACACGCTGCTGCAGACTCCTCTAGGATATTTTGTACATGAAAACTATAGGGAAGACAGGCCTCAATGCAAACAAGCTAGCAGAATTAGTTTCCTTGCTTTTTTTGCCCTCCCAAAGAACATAAACAGCCCTGTGGGCAGAGAGGAAATGGAGGTTCAGACCATGGGCCACCGCTCTGTGGTTTCTTTACTGCGTTTTAGCCTCGAAAGCAGGTAATTTCACTGTGGTCAGAGGGAATGGAAACAGCCTAGGTGGGCAACACGGTAGCGGTTTAATAATGGAAACCAAGGTCTCGGGGGACAAGTCCATCTTTCTGAGCAACAGAGAAAGTCCATTACCCTCAGTGTTTCTTTACCGAATGTAATGTCTCATTTGTAATTGAAAATCAGAGGTGTGTTATTGCGCACCGATCAAACAGCACATATGTGGAGTGGTGTAAGCCACCTGACAGCACGCCACAGAGCCCAAAGAAATCCCTAAATGATCTAAAACGGTGGTGGCCAACCTTTTAGTCTGACCCCCATATGCCACCACACATCTCTATCAGAGAAGCTCAAGTACCCCTTCATCATTTTAGTTTTAGCTAAAAATTTATTTTTCTACTGTTTTTCCATTACTTTCAGCTAACTGTTTCGGTTCATCCATTACAATAAGCTATTTCAACTCATTTAAATGTTTGATATGTTACACTATACACTTTTCACAAACCTCATGAAACTGCATTAGAACCCCTGGTTGGGAATCAAAAATGCTAAACCTTTGTCATTTGCGTGACTTGCTTGTCTTTTAAACAGCGCTTGTGTTCATTTGCATTTATCTTTGGATCATTATTTCTCCCTTTCACACTTAATAGTCCTCCATTTCTGGAAGCTCATGGGTGTTCTTCCTTGTAATCTAATTAATTACTGTAATGATGTGAGACCTGAATGGGTTACTCACTGTACAGTAACAGCCCCCCCCCCACCCCCACCCCCCCCACCACCACCAGTTATCTCCTGTTGTACTGCCCCAGTCTTCTTTGCAAGGAAGACAGGGACTGTTATCCCAACTCACTCAGGATTTACAGCTGCTTGTATATCTGCTGTTGTCAACATATTCATCACAGAAAGTGACATTTCATTATGCCGACTCTCCCCTGGGGAAAGTTAACATTAAACATCATGCTCATGCGGCATCATGATAGACCGGAGGGTGCTTTGCGGGGGAAGAGTGTGTGTGTGTGAAAACTTCCATATTAAAAGCATAATAAAAGGAGCAGATTTTTCACTCCCACCACCCTCATGAAAAATGTACAGCAGCATATTCATTACTTCATTGAGCTAAGTGAGTGTGACAAGCGGAGAGCTGCAGCAACCGAGGGCAGGGAAGCAGCACCACAATGAAGCCCTCGGCCAGTCTCTGAGGACACGGCTACCCCCGCCGCTCGTGGGGGCTTCATCTCTGCACTCCGTTCGGATAAAATCCGAACGGTTGAGGGTTCCGCACACGGCATGAGACAGAGTTCACTCAGGCCAATTTGTCCTCTAATCTAATGCATGCACGGTCATCGGGGCGCTAATCAATTCACTGCCTTTTCAGTGTGATGAATATGACCCATGAGCCATGACTTAAGACCCTTATGCTATAAATGTGATCATGCATTTTCATCAGTTTACCAGACACACGCACATAATCCCAAAAGTGGTATGCATTAGGCTAAGCGTCAGACATGGATTAGGTTCTTTGTTATGAACTGGATTGTAGGCTACACCGTGCATACAAAGAGACGGATTTACGCGGGTGTGACTTTCATGAGATATAGCCCCAAAGATTTCTGCAGACGCCTAATGCATCAAAACTGGATACACAAATGACATGAACAACTGCAAACAATAATAACTGCCTGTCATCTGTTTATTTACTTGATTCCCTAGCGCAGTTTGCATTGAAGGATGCTGTCCGTCTACATTTTGGAGCGTCCTCTGCACTCTTGGATGATCCCTCCCCCCCCCCCCCCCCCCCCCCCCGTAGCCATAACTCCTCCCGGCCCCGCCTGTCTGATCCCGAGGTGTCATGCCGGGTCACCCTCAGCCCCCGTTGTCTGATTACCAAAAATAATGCCCTGCCCAGAGCACATCAGCCCATATTGTCTTCAGCACAACACTACAATTGTGACTTTGCTTTGATGACCCTCTGCAGCAGCACCAGCAGCAACAATGCCTCTTAATCCAGAGCAACAGTTTCCCTCAGATGAATGCAGCCTGCCCAAATGAATGGCTGCCGCACTGTAGCACGGGACCTATAGCACCATGGGTAAAATGTGCGACTTAAATAATTTCTGAGACTGTGGAGGAGTCTAGAGAATGGCAGACACGCTGACTAATAACATGGGATTCAGTAACAAGGGCTGCTCCGATGGTAATGACTCCTCACTCCGGAAATATCTGATTTCCTGCGAAAAATACTGTCATCTCAGGCTGGTATTTCAATTCCAAATGAAACAACATAAAAATAAAATAAACTCCCAAAAATAATTGGGATACAAAGCATTGTGTGAATATAATATTGTAGTGAGGAATATGGGAATAATTAATGGACTCCAAATGTAATAAATCATGTGGACCCCTGGACCTATATAACCTCATCTGTTAGAAATGTGTGAATGTAAAATCAGCACAGAGCTCATTAGACATAAGACTGATGCAAATGGTATGCCTTTTTTCCTTTTTTATCTGGGGAACTCACATAAGATCTCACAAGTGTCATTTGTGCTCTCCTTTTGTGGAGGAACATTGTGTGGGAGTCGGGCATATTCACCACTCAGTTATCAGAATAACTCTAATTAGGCTATTTTTAACACATCCTTTTAAAAACGCTCTTGGGTGTTTACATTTGCTAATGACAGCCTGAGTGAAAATCATCTATCAGCAAGCATCACCATCACCGCCACGGACACATTAATATGGATCCTCTCCCAAGAAAAAGGCCACCTTGCCAGGGTGCTTTCACGATTCATATAAAGCATGCATATGCATCTCTAATATGTGCACCTAAACAGTATATTTATGTGGAATGTTTACATTTGCACAGTACACTTCAGACAACCCAAGCAAGGCACTGAGGCTTTTTTGCTCCAGTAAATACAAGACTGCTCTTTCAAGCCGGTGCATTCGCCAGATTACAGCGTTTGTAAAAACACCTTTTTTACATGCCTGTGATTTGCATAATTTTCATTTAGTTTACCGTCAAATTTAAAAACACAGCTTGCATTTGAAGTCGACTAACTCCACTCCTGGTTGTTGTTTAGCCGGCATGCACAGAAGAAAAATCATTAATATTTCTTCAGGGACGTAAAATGTGCCTGAGGTCTTCAGCATTGGCTTTATGGTCACCTTGTTGTGCTATAATAGTATTTTTATCGTATAATTTATCATCATAATATTGCAAAAGGGACTTGTATTTTTCTGTGATATTTGTGGACTGTCATTTAATTCATGGGGGGGCAGGACGGCATACACATGCCTGTTTTGTGGCATTGTCATCTGATAACGCCGGCTCTATTGCTCCATCTAGTGGTCTTTTAGAGGAAAAGCAGACAACTGCTATCTTCTATAGAAACAATCTTTTTCTTCTTCAAGAAAATATACAATTCATAAAGCATCACAAGAAGTAAAGTAGCATTCTCTCGGGAGGGTCAGATCAGTAAACCCTGAGGTGGGGCCGAGCCTTCTCATTATTATTTGCCACCAAAACACATTAGAGTGCAGTAAGGGACAATAGGCATCCCTGACGTCGAACAAAACATTTTTATTTGGTCCGTGTGATAACTTGTTGTGAGTTGCCAGAATCAGCAGCTCGGAGGAAACATTATTTGTCACGAATGCTCACCCTGAATTATTGGGCTATGGCATCCAAAATAGATACTCGGGGGATGTTTATTAGATCCTTGTTCTCCATTATTATAACAAATACAGAATAAACATTCACACATAAATGTTGTGCTAAGGTATGTGGATCTACACACCTCCACAGACAGCAGGTCATGTTACTTCTCTGCATATCAGTAATTTGATCTGAGCAGCAAACAAAGACGGTCTCTGGGCAACCAGTGTTTACTGCATCATTATGCCTGATAGCACATCTATGACGTGCTCTGTCAACCACACACACATGTATAAGACACACACACTGTGAGTTTCTCCCCAGGCAATAATGGCAGCCGTTTTGGATCCCTACAAGCAGTTTTCTGCAGAGCTGCATGCCATCAGACGGCTGAACTCCAGCCTGTACCGTGCTGGCGGTAGAGATGGACTGGAAACTGGACGTGCTGACTCACCTTTTGCTAGATGTCACCCGCCCGCTAAGCATGTCAAGCTGGCTCCATTACGTGACGACGTCCCGCTGCTGGACCCTTGCTGCGGTCAGCTGAGCGCCGGAGCTGAAGTGGACCTGGGGCTCAGAGGTCGACAGAGATTCATAGATCCTCAGCATGAGGCCTCTGCTCTGCGGGTGCCTCCAGGTTTCAGGGAGAGGCCACCAACGGCTCCAAACCACTCTGGTATCTGTGTCGACCTGAGAGAAGACAAAGCCTGGAACTCCAGGAGGATCCCCGATGCAGTCTTGAGGGCAAGACTCAGTGGTAAAATAAGCAGAGATTATATCTATATTTGCTTCAAATAACACCATTGATATTAATACTTGTATGCATTGCCAACTGTGATGTATATCAAATCCTGTGCAGGTTGGACGCTGTATCTAGCAGTCAAAGCTGGCTTACCTACAGGACAACTGCCCCAGGGCCCCCAACACTCAAACTGAAACTAGAGCCCATCAACAGAAAATTAGTTGGAAAATAATACATTTTTACACTTTTACCTATGTATTGGTTATAGTGGGACTTTGACATAATCTAGTTTTATTGCCTTCATTTTTCTGCTGTCTGTTTGTGTGCATTTAAATCTGTTAAATAAGACTTTGGGTACTGCAGTGCCCCCTCCTGGTCATTCGACAGCAGTAGTGTTAGAGGAGGCACCTTATTTATGAAGCACGGCTGTGAACACAAGGCGACTGCTTCTCCTGCTTAAATATATATTTTTACGTTGTTACCGTGGACGCTGTTATTACGTAAGTACTTTGTTTTATTAAATATTAGATGGTGTAAGCAGAATATAATTGCTGTAGTTTGTTGATAATTGAGTCCCAAGTTAAGCTAATTGATAGTTAGCATAACATTAGCTGTTAGTAAGTTACAGCCATGTGACTCTGCATCTTCAGTTTCTATAAATGTTTATTTTTTCTGTGTATATTGGTTTAATTCTGCGTTCCATTTGTGCTTTTATTGTAGTTTCACAGATGTAAATATTTACTAAATATCCAAGAAAGTTTATCTGAGGATTTGGACCTTGGGCAGGTGGTAATCAAGGGGGAATATGTCCATGTTCCCACTGTTTGTTCCTCAGCTCACTATCCACATTCAGAGCATTCATATAGTGACAAACAACTATTAGCTATGTAAAGATATAGAGAGTCATGGCTACCTGGGCAAAAAATGAAGTCGCTCTCCCACTCGGTGTGCTGTTATCCAAGTTTCAACTTTCTTTGTTGACATATGAGGGCCGGCCCTCGTGCATGTGAGCGTGCCACACTAGCTAGCTCCCAGCCGCCGCTCTGCAATGCTCTCATATCCGGTTTCAGCTGATTTTGCGGCCACGACCGACAGCGCCCTCGCGGAAGCGTAGCATCCATCCTCTGCCTCTGGTTCCTCCTCGGGTACACGCCGTTGGCTCTGCCGGGCCCCGGCATCATTATCTGCGAGCCGCGTCGCATGCAATAGAAATACCCCCAATCTCTGCATTAGGCCTTTTCACAGCAGCCATTTTTGACGTGTCATTACAGGCTAAACGGGTGTAAGTAATAACATTATTTATGGCCCTGTTCCATTTAGGTTTGTCAGGACGGAGTTATGTATGCTGGTTCACTGGAAGGCTGTGACACAATAAATTGAATGGGACCGTAATTTAATTAATTACATCTGTGTTTACCTTGCTATGACATGTCAAAATGGCTGCTGTGAAAAGGGCCTATTATGCACCTTTTAAGGGGTTTTATATTCTCAGCAATGCTTTTTTTTGTCAAATAAAAAAATGTATGTTCCCTTGGTCGATGTGTCAAAATCAACCACCTACAGCTTATAGTCTACAGATGTTCTACTTCTCGCAACCTATGCCATCAAATTTGCAGATGCAGACATACTTCAAACATTGCTATCTCCACATTGGCTGAATGGATTTGCACCATTCAAAATTGAAACATCCATCTCACTTTGTTCATTTAAGAAGATAGCTAATACTAATCTCTTGCAATGGGAACACAGGGATGACCCTCTAATGGGTGACAAGAGTGGTAGTTGGTATTCGTTATTTCTTGCCGAACAAACCCTGTATTATTATATAAACTGACATTTGTAGTCTGCTGTGTTCTCTGTTCCCGGTGGTTACTCTAAGGCTGCGGCATTCATACACAAGTCACAGAGTGGGAGGAAGAAGAGTCAATATACATGGTTGATTTTTGCCCCAAGGCCTGGCCTTGAGAGCAGTTACTACTGTGCATAAAGTACACAATTTGACATGTGTCCCAGATACTCAATAGTTGTTGTTTCATCCTAAGGTTCGACTGATCCAGTTGATGTTCAACCACACTCACTGAGGACGTCAACTAAAGCAATGTCGCACAGCAGATACCCTGATAAACACACTGGACCTCAGGTGGGTGATGACTGAATTGACTTTTCTACAAGTCATTTGCATAACAGCATGCGTTTACTACATGGACTCCAATAGATCCTTGTTTTAATCTTACTTAGTTTTTTCCTGCTTCTGAGCACATAAACACTCATTCATCCATTCAAGCGACTGCAGTGACGTGGCAAATTTGCAAAAATGAATGCTTGCTTGGTTTCTATGAAACAATAGTTATTATGTCGTTTCATCAGATGCCTGGTCAATTAGTCACTTAGCCATCACAACACAAACACATTAAGTATGAAAGAGTAATTCATAAACACATCCTTTTGGTCTCACCACACATGATAAAGCACCACATTAGCCCACTGTCATTTAGGCAGGTGTTCACTTTGAGTACATAATCACGCTTTATTATTTTGTTTCTGAGTCTCCTTTTTGAAGTAATCATGATTACCCTGATGTACATTATTATGGTTTAGAAGAAGCTTTGCAGCACTCGGCTGGAGTGAAGAGCTTAAAGTGCTGTCTAGTGAATGGAGGCTTGATTCATATCTGTATTTAAGCGGTTTGAGACGTGGGAGGAGTGTTGAAGACGCTGCTGCCTGTCTATGTGTAAACACATCACATTATCTGATTGACTCAGATTCAATCAAGTATGTCAGGAGTTTTGTTTTTACTTTTGTTTTGTAGTCGTTTAGACAAGATCCTGACATGTACAATTTGATACAAATATTCCCGAATACTTGATGCCGTTGACCTCTTGATTCAATGGTTCAATATCCTGTGTTGTCGTCTTTTAGGTAAACATCTCAACATCTGGATTTGCTACAGTTACAGACCTACAAGAATCAGAGGTTCTCTGAGAGATCATTAGGCTGATATGATACTAATACTAAAAACTATCGTCTACTTATATGACATTTTAAGTGAATGGAGGGATGTATCTCATGTACATGGGTTTTTAATACGGTGCAGGTTTAAAAAAAATAAATAAATACACATATTAATAATCAAATACATTACCTTTATGTAAAATAATAGTGTTTATGTACAACATGAGGGAAAATAGAGTAAAATACAGAAAAATATCAACACTAACTCGTGACCAATTAGCCTCTTGCGTCTTAATCTCCTTTCTCTTTTGGCATTGCTGCCTCATCCTCTAGATAGACACAAAATAATACCACTGACAATATAATATAACTAAGAATACTGTTGTTTTTTTTTTTGTTTGTTTTTTCAGGATGTCTTCTCTTCTCATATGAGGCCGTGGAGACACAACTCACTGGCAGTTCAGCGCTTCAGATACACTTCTGCAACACAGAGGTCAGAACACACTGACCTTTAGTAGTCTCCTCTCCATAATACTGAAGCTAAACAAAGCTCACCTCCCACATGAATCATTATGTACAGTCCACGCACAGTGTCATTTTGCCTTGAGGGTCTTTGAGAGTGAGCAGGTTTGATTTGTGTGGTCCGGTGATGTCGTCAGGGAGCGGTGTGTCCTCTTGTTGTGTTAATTCCTGCTCAATATAATCATGTAGCTGGACTGTGGCCTTGCTCAAAATCTCTGGGAAGACTTGGCTCCCCAGTTAATAAGCCGTCTAATATACTTGGTGCAACGAAGGGGGCTGTTTAAGAATTCAAATTAAAGCTAATAACTTTTGAGTTAATCAATTTCACTCTAGGCACTTGGCTCCGATGTTTACTGGTAGGTATTTTTTCGTTCCTTTGCAGGAGTTATGAGGAAGTTAATTGGGATTCAAAGTTACCCCGGCGCTTGAAGGCACCAGACACAACCCTGGACAAAATGGCCGACCCAGTGAGTGAGTTTACCTCATCGAGGTGCTACGAGAGTCGACCTCAGCTGTGGCAGGTGAGCCATGGAGAAGAAACGGTGACCAACCCTGCCAAGGCCGGAGCTCAGTGGTTTTCTTTCTCTGCAGCTGTGGGCTCCTGGAGGTTTAAACTCGCCCACAGCTGACTGAAGGAAATTCGATTTTTGTGCAACTATAACATGACTGAGACAAAATCCTCCACAGAGTAGAACTGCTGTGCTGAAGTAATTAAGCAGTGGGTAGTTTTCAAGGAAGTCACTTACTATCACGAAAAATCAATCTAATTGTGTTACCTGAATGTAATTATGGTTAGAATAAAAAATAAATTGTTGTTGTCTCACAAAATGACAACCACGTTTGCGACTAAGAAGTACATTTGTTTCATATTTGGTTTTAGTGAAAGGGATAAAAGTGTCATTCCACCATGTTCAGAAGTTTCTATTATTTGTGCTGTACAGCAATATGCCTCTGGTGCCTTAAAGGTGGAGTCTGCAATTCTAATCCAACACGTTTTTTGTTAAATTCACTGCATATCATGATAGACGGGGAGCTAGCTGTCCGTTCTCTGTCTGTGTGTGTGTGTGTGTGTGTGTGTGTGTGTGTGTGTGTGTGTGTGT